AGATTGAGTTTAATATGCCTCCATTGTCTAATATTTCATCTATTAAGAACCTTGATAAGTTGTAGTGAGGTGAATCTCTCACTTATAAAACCAAAATGTTCGTTACTAAATAAGTTATGGCTATGCATGTGCTGAACTATTCTCTGTATCATAAACTTTTCCATTACTTTGCCAATAACACTGGTCAAACTAACCTGTCTATAGTAATTTAGGGATGTTTTGTCACCTTTCTTAAATATTGCTGATATTTGACCTATTTTCCATCTTTGGGGTACCGTCCTACTCTTAAAACTTTCATTAGATATCGTACTATCATAAGTGGCTAGTCAATAGTATTTGATAGTTCAAATTAAACTTTTGGGTGTATTTGATCAGGACCAGGTGATTTTGACGTATTCAGATGTTTAAGTAATTTATTTACCTTTGTACTATTACAAAGTTCATTACTTTCACAATATATCCTACCACTACTTACTGGGTTGTCTGATTCTAGTGGAAATACATCACTGAAGAACTAAGCAAGTAATTCAGCTTTTTCATTATCTGTAGATGCTATAAATTCTGTATCATTTTTTTAGAGAGCAACTCTGATATACAGGACATAGATTCACTTTTGATGAGTTTACGCACTTCCGAAAGGTTTTACAGTTAGTTATGGCACTTCCTGCTATTTGTTTCTCATGACGCTTCCTTTCGTTCCTCGATACTATTTTCACTTTATTCCCGGCTTCATTATTCTTTATATCTGTACCATCTCTATTATATAAGTAGCGGGTCCATATCCTCTGTTTCCTCTTAATACGTCTAACTGCTTCACTCGAAAGTGGCGTTTTCCCCTTTTAGTTTGTTGATAAAAATATTTATCATATCTTCTGTGCATTTTCCATCTAATATCGCATTCTAGTTTAAATTTGACATTTCTCTCATTTTATCATAGTCACCCTTAAAATAGTTCAATTTCTTGTGTTCGAGTCATAATTGATATAACAATAATAATTAAAATTTAGTACGCAATAATCACCAGATCCAAGTTGATAATCAAAGTTAATTGATGATACTCTGTACTTGTTGCTATCATTAACTAATAAAAAATCAAGTTGATGGCTGCCGATTAATCCTATATCTAGTAGGTTTATCGACTAATTAATCAAAGTAACAATTTCTAATACATTCTATAAATTTTAGGTCAGTTTCGTCACCAGCTACCGACTGTGTCCAATCTATCTTTGGAAAGTTAAATTCCTTGTCACATGTATGCGGCTAAACATTTCCTCAAGTCGACTAACTTTCGTCAAAAGTTCACTTAAATTATCATGATCAGTTATATCAGACGACGGGGTTTTATTTATACAGTCTTTCAGTAACTTGTCATTGACTTTTAATGTTATTTTAAGTTTATGTTAACCCATACATACTCCCTTTATAGCTTGCTGTTCGGTGTGAGCCTAGGATCTGTGTTGAAGGCTGTCATTTGGCCTATAATGGTTTACTTTTACAAATTGTGACTTGGATGGAGAGTTGTCTCTTTGGCACTCTTACCACATCTTCTTATAACTCTTTAAAGCCAGATTCAATATTTACCCCGACTGCTTTTACTTCTGTACAAAGGTACAAAGTCAGTATTGTGTTTCTTAACTATTCCTTTGGTACCCTATCGTTTTATTTATTTCCTCTTTTGGCATATCGTGAGTTACGCTGATACCGTAGTACGGACTCTCATCATCAATCCCTTTTAGATTTGATAATTGTTTCATAATTGTGTGTTTGGACTCAGTTTCTGTCCATATCGTCTTTAATGGTCTTGATTTATTATCCTCTAAGTCTGATTCTGTCTTCTTACCTAGTAATGTCACATTAACAATGCTATTTTATCAGCAACGGGGAATGAAGCAAGACTGTTAACATACTCAGTGTCTCTATATTTGCGAACAATGCTTTCTTTATCAGTGACCTCATTTACCCCATGAATAATGATATTTTTCTCTCTAATACTACTCTCTCGAATGTCTGATGTTTGATTATAAAGTGTCTCTTTAATCTCATTTAATTCAAGTTGACCTGTATTTTTAGTTTCTTTCATAGTTTAAAAATCACCATAACCTGTTCGATATCTACTTTCGTTGGAATTTCTGTTTCTGGTTTTGTAACTCTTTTCTCCATCGATTGGAGAAACTCAGCGCATCTTACCTCAACTTCATTGTCAGTACGAAGGCTTTTCATAACTTTGTCTTCACAGGTGTGGCAGAACTAATGCAGGGATGGATTCATGAATACCCGATACTGTTCAGAGGTCAAATCTAGGCAATAACTGCAGTAACAATTTTCCCATATTCACACTGGATTATTTTGTCAGTTTCTTCGGTGAAGTCTTTCTTACATGTTTCACATTTCCAAATATCTCCCTTGTTTTTGTCGGACTTTGAATTGCTTTGTGTATGGGAACCTAATCTAAACAATTGGCTACTTGGTACAATTCGATGTAATCCTAACTAATTAGTATATTTCAACTTATAGTTGTTATCTTTATCGTGTTATGAAATGTCTATTCTCGCCATGCATAATTTATTTATCTATTCCTACCTTTGTTATCACAACAAAAACAATAATATTGGGAGCGTAGAAAAATTTCATCCTTCTTCAACCGGAATTGGACGTCTTATGTTTTTAGAATAAACCACGCCCACTGACCTTGTTTTTAAAACACGCCCACTGACCTAATATTTAATATGCATGGTCCCAACTTGTTAGCTTAAACCAATGATATTCCTAGAAGTGTTCAGGGGGTAAAATAAAATACATTTATTGCTATCATTATATGCATAAATATATCATTACAGCGTATTAAATTCTTCATAACAATCGTAAGACGTCACATCTGATTTTTTTAAGTAAGTAAAACAAAATCGTAAACTATGTTGAATCGTATAGGCAATGCGATTGATGACGAGATATACTTATTACGTTCTAATGCATGATGATATCTTGCAATATTGCAATAAGAGTGTCAGGAAGCGGAATTAGTGCATTATTAGTGATTTCCTATTCAACCTTGTGAATGTTGTGTAGATACTTCTATTAGCTGCTGTGGACTTAATTTAAATAAGATGGTATACTTCACAGAGTAAATAAGCTTGAAAAACTTTACAATAATAGACCACGGAATTCCCTGCAAATATTTCTTTAAGTTACCCTATTCGATTTCAAGATCAGACAACTTCAAAACATAAAAAGATTTACCGCTCAATATGTTTTACCTATAAATCTATCTTCATTTTGTTTAATAAAATTGAGAATGGAAATGGAGAATGTGTCAAAGAGACAACAACCCGACCATAGAACAGACAACAGCAGAAGGTCACCAACAGGTCTTCAATGCAGCGAGAAATTCCCGCACCCGGAGGCGTCCTTCAGCTGGCCCCTAAACAAATATATATACTAGTTCAGTGATAATGAACGCCATACTAAACTCCAAATTGTACACAAGAAACTAAAATTAAAAATAATACAAGACTGACAAAGGCTAGAGGCTCCTGACTTGGGACAGGCGCAAAAATGCGGCGGGGTTAAACATGTTTATGAGATCTCAACCCTCCCCCTATACCTCTAGCCAATGTAGAAAAGTAAACGCATAACAATACGCACATTAAAATTCAGTTCAAGAGAAGTCCGAGTCTGATGTCAGAAGATGTAACCAAAGAAAATAAACAAAATGACAATAATACATAAATAACAACAGACTACTAGCAGTTAACTGACATGCCAGCTCCAGACTTCAATTTAACTGATTGAAAGATTATGTCTTCATCATATGAATATCAGGCACAATCCTTCCCGTTAGGGGTTTAGTATCCTACCATCATAACATATATGAGAAGAACATAACCCGTGTCATGCCAACAACTGGTTTTTAAATAAATGTGTTTAGTGCCGATGCAAAGACCCTATAAGTGAATCAATATTAACGCCAAAATATGCAATCTTTAATGACCTGACAACAGTATCGTAACTATATCCCTTCTTAATAAGTCTATTTAAAGGTTTTGTTAGCTTCAGAGGTGAATACTGACATTTTTGTGCTCTATAAAGAATATTTCCATAACAAATTGGATGTGAAATACCTGAACGTATAAGAAGTCTGCATGTTGAGCTATATTTACGAATGATGTCCTTATACCGATGATAAAATTTAGTAAATGTTTTGACTAGTTTGTGATATCGAAAACCCTGGTGTAATAATTTTTCAGTAATACATAAATTTCTCTCGTTAAAATCTAAAACATTGTTACATACACGAGCGAATCGTACAAGTTGAGATATATAAACACCGTAAGATGGTGACAAGGGAACGTCACCATCTAAAAATGGATAATTAACGATAGGAAATGAAAAATCATCTCTTTTATCATATATTTTAGTATTAATCTTTCCGCTTATGATATAGATATCAAGTAGCTTATTTTTCTGTCATTATTAAAACAGAATACAATCTGTCCCTATACACTATTCCCTCATTGTCTAGTGGAAGTCCAAATTTACTTCCAAGCTTTCTCCTATAACAGGACTTACATTTACGTTGCATTTATTGTTCATCCTCATCTTTGGTGTAATATCGTGTTCATGTTCGAAAGGCACTATTAATTTCAACTTTGTTTCATTATATAAAGAGATATACTTATGGTTAAAATTTGTATTCTCAAAAATTCACAGTGACTAAACTAATACCCGGTTCAAAACATAGAACAAAGGTCATTAATTTTAGATATTACAGTTAATTCTATATAAAGTTTTATTTCACTGTATTATAATCAATGACGGGACTTTCCTATTCAAAATATTTTTACGTACTTGGTTTTCCCAAACTTATGACTTTGATAATTGTTACTCTTTAACATGTGTGATAACAAAAGATTACACATTGTTGAAATAGTAAAACGATTATTATCCATACACAATTACTACATTTACAATTTTTTCGTAACAATCGTATCACGACAAATTTAAATGAATAGAAATAAGAAAATTTTCAAAAGATTGGTGAATATCATTCATAGATCAAAACGTTAAATGTGTGACTATATAAAGGTCCTTATTTTCAACAAATGATTTCCTCGATTAACACGGTCAATTGACACATTAAAGACGAACAATATATGTACATTTGTGCGACGTTTATATAAAATCACAGAGAATTGTGGCAGGAAAGTTAATATAGATAGTTATGATGAAGAATTTGAAACTACTGAACATGGTTCAATTTATCAGATAATTAACTTTACCGAAGGAGGATAATCAAAAGAATAAAACGGTATGTAAATAATCTTTCGTGTCCCGTTTGTCACTATTTAGTTTTTTTAAAACAGAAGTAACTTTAAACACCATACCTTTATTTAGATATTTGACAAAAGTTGTACAAACCAAACATTGTAAATCAGAAGGGTTTCTAGATTCTTTGGTTTGCCGAAACACCCAATTCTAATGATAACAGTTTGAGAATGACGTTATTTCAAATGAGCACTTATACCCTGAAGACTTATTGCCCTTTTGTAATCTTAGAAAAAAAAAATACAATAGAAATAGACTGAAGACATAATCTTTAATCAGTTTAATTAAGGTCTGGAGCTGACATGTCAGTAACTGCTAGTAGTCCTTTGTTGATTTATGTATCATTGTCATTTTGCTTAGTTTCTTTTGTTATCTATTCTGACATCGGACTCGGACTTCTTTTGAACTGAGTTTTACTGTGCGTATTGCTGTGTGTTTGTTTATTATAAATTGGTTAGAGGTATAGGGGGAGGGTTGAGATCTCACAAAACATGTTTAACCCCGCCGCATTTTTGCGCCTGTCCCAAGTCAGGAGCCTCTGGCCTTTGTTAGTCTTGTACGTTTTTTAATCTAAGTTCATTTATATGTTTTAGAGTTTAGTTTGACGTCTATTTTAACTGAACTAGAACACATTTTGTTTAGGGGCCAGCTGAAGCCCTCTTCCGAGTGCTGGATTTTCTCGCTGTGTTGAAGACCTATTGGTGGCCTTCAGCTGTTTCCTGCTCTTTGGTCCGGTTGTTGTCTTTTCCACACATTCCCCATTTCCATTCTCAATTTTATGAAATATACAAACGTCAACATAACTATGTAAATAACCTATTAACGTGTAAACTTTCCTCAAGTCCATGAACTTTTGGTAAACTGCTTTTGTTTAGGCATAAGGGTGAAGGTTGGTACCTATTAAAACGTTTAAACCCGCTGCATTTTTTTGCACCTGTCCTAAGTCAGGAATCTGATGTTTAGTAGTTGTTGTTTGTTGATGTGGTTCATAAGTATTTATCGTTTCTCGTTTTTTATATAGATTAGACCGTTGGTTTTCCCGTTTGAATGGTTTTACACTAGTCATTTTTGGAGCCCTTTATAGCTGTAGTTTGGTGTGAGCCAAGACTCCGTGTTGAAGACCGTACTTTGACATATAATGGTTTACTTTTACAAATTGTGACTTGGATGGAGAGTTGTCTCATTGGCACTCATACCACATCTTCTTATATCTATAGAAAATATTGTTGTTTGCATAACTTCGTACATCTGATGTTTTTTCAAGTCAGTTAAAGGATGTATTTTTTTTTTAAATTCTAGACATAGAGTGATATTCTTGATTATATGTGAAAACGAATTATGCTTCATCTTCTAGTCCATTGAATCATAATTTGGGCATGATTCTTACATGCATGTTACCTTTTCTCTTTCAAAAAGTGGGCTACCTAATCGAATTTTAAATTACTTTAATGTGTAAGTAGATATCATTTATATTGCAACATAATTTGATTTTCAAAATATTTTCTTACATCAAGGAATTTAAGTTTTTTTTTGTCAATTTATAATTTTCCTGTTTATAGTCTGTTTCTTGCATATTATTATATACAAGTGTGAATGGAAACGGTGAATGTTTTAAAGAGACAACAACCCCACCAAAGAGCAGGAACCAGCCAAAGGCCACCAATGGGTCTTCAGCGTAGCGAGGAAGTCAAGTAACCGGAGGCGTGCTTCAGATGGCCGCTAATCGATCATGTATACTAGTTCAGCAAAAATAAATACATATATTGTTTTACTATTTTTTTATTTTTATTCATTATTTTGCCCATTATTCCAAATTCAGTAAAGCCTTTAAAAACATTCAGATATGATCTGAACACATTATTTCTACATCTTAAATAGTTAGGTAAGTCGAGCATGCAGTTGCTATTTTGAACGCATTTTAAAAAATAAACACCGCTACTTATTTTTGTCTTAAACAGTATGAAATGCAAGAAGGAATCCATCACAAGACAATAAAATTACTAAATTATAATACTGGTAAATGATTTACAAGAAAAATAAGCAATTTCACACTTTCGATTATTGCCGAAAAAATTATAATTAACCGTATACTTATATAACTCAAAACATGTATAAAAAATCAATTCTGATAATTGTAAAAGCCATTCGCCCGTCCTCTGTCCCTTGAATGTGACATAACATACGGAGATGTATAATCGAATTTGTACGTGCCATGAGCAAGGCACGAGAACTTTGGTTAGGATGTGATTACCCTTACGTCGCGATAGATATCACCTCCGGATTATGTGGGGTCATTTGTCGCTCGGTCTTTTGTTTGTATGTAGTATTTTACATTTTTTGTAGACAGTTGTTTATCTTTTCGTTGGTTTTATATTTTGCCATGATTTTGCCGGTCTATCTTCGAATTATGAATTTTGAGTATCCCTTTGGTATCTTCCGCTTACTTTTGTTCTCTAGTTTTCTGAATTTGTAAAAATGATAAGTTTCAATTCCTTTTCGCTAAATCCTTAAAAATGGAAATTTAGATAGTCAGTGTTAATATCGAATAAACAGTTTTCTAATATTTTCCATAGTAACTTTCGTGTTGTCCGTTAATAAAATTATTAAGCCATTTTATTTAAATGGAGTTTAAATATAAATAGTTAAAACCAAAATGTAAACCTTAACCGTGCTTAACTGAAAATAAAACAAAACATTATTACCTCGTTGGGTGATATGTAATGAAAGAGGAAATAAATACAAACCCAGTAATCTTATTTTTGATGGAGGTGTATAAGGTACAGCAAGGGGGTAATATTAGAAACGAACATTTGAAAAACTGTTATTTGTTTTGTTTTTCAATTCAACAAAATTAATAAAATTTAAAAGAAAATGTTCTGACAACGAAGTATGAATTTATTTAGAATAGCAATGGGCGTAATTCATCAAAACTGTTGTATATCTATGATTAAAAAAAACACACCCAATTGCCTCCTACATTAGAATGTAGAATGATACAAAAAAAAAATGTATGACATGACTAACTACAGTGAGTTGTAATTTATGTTTTTAAATTCTAGATATGACAATTGTTAGCTAATTTAATTAATTTATAACACATATTCAATAATGTTGGGTTAAAAGAAACAAATGATCAAATGTCATCTTTCGTTTAAAAACTAATTTGAATTTATCTAATTCATTTTAAGTTCAAGTGTAGGCTTGGGGAAGTGTTTTCTTCTATTATCCTTCTAATTTTCTTTTTGGTAAACAATGTATCGTTAATATAAAAGGCACAATTGTAATTCTGTTCTTACTGGAATTTTTTACTGTTCTTTCACAATACAGGACGCTATTTTTGAAAGATCCTTTGTTGTGTAGCAATGATGCAAATATATTTTAGTCAATATTTCCTTGAAATTCTTTAATTTCACTTTCAGATATATCGGTAAAGTTTCGTTACTCAATAACTGTTTTTTGCATCTCAAATATCAAAGTGAACTTGAGCTTGCTGTTTTCTTAGACATTGACAAAGAAAGACGACTTTACAAAGAATCTGCCACAAGCATTATGATGTCATCTTTCGAATTGTCAAATTCCCAATAACTTCTTAATATGCTTACATTAAATGTACGCACAGTTTATAGTTCTATCGTGGTGTCCTGGTATACTGTCGTAAATTTTTGGGAGATGTCTGTTGATATTCCGTGGTTTACATGCTGCAATGTTCTATTATATTATTTATTTATGTATTTTTCTGTCCTAAGTGTTCTTGCGTTTATTTGTGCTGTATTCCTGCCACGAAAGGTTGTCATTTTAGTGGTATGTTTAACATTGTCATATAAGCGGGAGGTTTGACTAGCCATACAACCAGGTTCACCCACCATTTTTTCTTAAAATGTCCTGTTCCAAGTCAGGAATATGGCAATTGTTTCTATGTATGTTGGTGTTTGTTCTCCTTTTAATGTACTAGTTGATGTGTTGCCCTCGGTTTTGGTTTGTGACCCGGATTTGTTTTCGCTTAATTTATATGTTGCCTTTATTTAATAAGACTGTGCTCCATACAAAAAAACCGGACCCAAATTGTTTTGAGGAAAAATTACTGTCACCATCAAGAATTACTTAAGAAATACGATATATATGTGTTTTAAATCACAAGCGACATGTTATCACGGTCTTAAGCTCGTCTAATCTGTCAATTTACCGATCGTACCCTATTCCCTTGTGTGACAATTAGACTGCGTTTGGGATCGCATGGCGGGTGACGTTAATCTGTCTAATCACCCGGTCTTATTATCAATTGCCTTATAAAAAAAATAGGCAGCTAGGTATATATATAATATCAAATGATAAGTACAATAAGCAGAGATATTTTGAAGTAATGTTATAAGTACTTAAAATTTCATCCCTAAAAAAGAAAAAACCAATGCTGATAAATGTTCGAGAAAAAAAATACGATAAATATATACCTTTCCGGGTGAAAGATTCGAACACCGAACTGTTAATATAACCGTAATGATGTTCGTTACAAACACCTAAACGTTCATGGTTATGAGCAGCATGGTTACAAATCAAAATTAACTTAGCTGCACATCCAAAACTAAAGTATAATTGACCCTTACGGTTCATATAATTGAGTTTCATGTAGACCCTTTGGCTGAAACGGCTGCGTTTACACCTCAAAATAAACCATGAATACAGAAAATTTGGTGTATCTTAAAACAAAAATAAAATTCTAATGCATTTCATACTTTCGAAAATTAAAAACTAGGTGGATTTTGCAGAACACTTTTTTTTCATCCATGCAGAAGATGATGAAAAAAACAAACAGTTGGGTTACTTGATATGGTTCACTCAGTGACACAGATTATTGTCAGGTTTATCCCTCTATTGTCTATTTCAATCAATGCAGTTCACTTCAATTATTACCTATGGGTAGCTCAAACCTCTTTCCCAACTTTGTTTATTTTGGCATCTTCTGTAGGAATGACAAAAAGAATTTCT